TCCGGTGACCCTTCCTCAGAACTGATGGTGGCTGGGAAAACGTCAGAATTCACCCTCCCAGCCCAATCGTTAGCAACTCCTTTGTCCGTCCAACTGTCTGTCTCTCTCTCTCTCTCTCTCCGGGCTCTGTCCTATCGTTTACTCCCTACCCCGCCCACCTCCCTATTTCCTGCAAATAAAAACTGACGTTTTCCCAGCCACCATCAGTTCTGAGGAAGGGTCACCGGACCCGAAATGTTAACTCTGTTTTCTCCTTCACAGATGCTGCCAGTCCTGCTGAGCTTTTCCAGCAACTTTGTTTTTGTTCCTGATTTACAGCATCCGCAGTTCTTTCAGTTTTTATAGAGCAAAACCATTAGTTTTGTTTCGACTGCTGAAAAATCAACTTGTTGAATTAAAAACAGACATGTGTATTTGCAATGGCAATTCAAAACTAAAGTGCAATGGTCTTTATGAGGTTCACCCAGAGCAGTTTTGTAATACAGGACTCTATGCTCTACGATCTGTTCACAGGAAGGCACAGAGACAAACATGAGCGCCTGCTAGAAGAATATCAACTCAGAGAGGTGATCTCTTTATCTGCCTGAAACTGTTTTCCAACATGAAGTGCTCCACAACCAAATGCTGCAGACTGGCACATTCCATGGTCCAGGACCACATGCAAAATGACAAAATAAAGCTTGGTGAAGCTGACAACACAGGCTAAACAGGGAAAGGTCACAATCTTAGGACTAGCTTAATACACTGAGGGGTCAGACCCCTTAAACTGTTCAAGCCACATGCAAAGACAGTGTCTGACATAACATTTATAACATGACATAACTCAAAAATTAAACGCAGTATGACATCTTAAGAGTGACACATACAGGTAATCCTTATTTAAAGTTGTTTTGCTGTAACAGCTATACAGTATTAGGGTCGAAAATCAGGTCGACATCACATTACTTGTTATGATCTGGTTTACAGCAGCAAATGAGATCCTGCAGACAGCCACAGCCACCACGGGGTGCCCCAGTCTCCAAAATGACATCAATTAGCAGTTGCTACGTAAGGTTCCCATCAGGCAGCCAGCAGCAGAAAACACAACTGCTCCCCAGGCAGCAGGATCCTTCCATCCCCAATTTGGCTTCACAGTCAGAGGGTCCACAACAGAAGGCATTGTAAGTAATTGCAGTCATTACGGCACTCAAGAAATCTAAAAATTTCAAATGGAACAACAATTTATACTGCATGAAAACAGGTGTATGCCTCTAATGGATCATCTCAGCCATTCACAACACACAGAGTACTGGATATACTTCACCAGTCCACGCTTGCAAAACACCTGATAGCGTCAACGTTGGGTGCGATTCTGCAAATTGACAGTACGGTCTGAGTTATTCACTGTTACAATTCTAGCTGATGGGACTCAAGGACAAAGCAAATCCCAGAATAAAAACATATGATCTATCAGAGCAGGTTTTTTTTGTTTTTAAAAAGAGTTAGATACTGAAGTGGTTTGTCACTGAAACAGAGTCATAGGGTCTGCTTTCATTCTATAAGACTCTTCGGGCAAACCAGTCCATGCCAAACATAATCCCAAACTAAACTAGCCCCACATGATTGCTTCTGGCTCATTCCTCCAACCTTTCTTATTCATGTACTTAACCAAATGTCTTTTAAATGTTTTAAGTGTGCCCACATCCACCACTTCCTGAGGAAGTTAATTCCACACATGAACCATCCTCTAAATAATTTGTCCCTCGTGTCTTTTTTAATTCTCTTCCCTCTCACCTTAAAAATATGCCACCTAGTCTTAAAGCCCTCCATCCTAGGGAAAAGATACCTACCATTAACCCTATCTGTACTCCTCATGATTTCATAAACCTCTATGGTCACCTCTCAACTTCCTATGCTCCATGTGGATGCAGACATTCTTAAAATAGAACACGTTTATTGCACAAAAGTGAAATAGTAATCTTGATGTAGAATACAGTTTAGGAAGATCTTAGCACAAACAGCAAAACAAAGTTTCAACCCCGTTTCTCCAACACTGTTACAGAGATTCATCCAGAAAGATAATGTCCTATCTCAACTCTAGGTTTCTACTCAATCTTGTCCTTCTAGATTTTTTCTTCTGTGGAATGTAGAGACAATTTTACAATTCCTTTCCATATCTGCAGGCCTGAGAGACTTTTGTAGTTCTGAGGATCTAAATTTGCTCAGCTCTCACAACTGGAAAACTACTATACAAACTCCTTAGGCTTACAGTTTCTCAGACAAGACACCTCCACTTTAGTAACAGAGATGAACACAGCAGGCCAAGCAGCATCAGAGGAGCAGGAAAGCTGACGTTTCGGGCCTAGACCCTCCATCAGAAATGGGGGAGGGGAAGGGAGTTCTGAAATAAATAGGGAGAGAGGGGGAGGCGGATAGATGATGGATTGGGGAGAAGATAGGTGGAGAAGACCTGTCTGTCTCCTCTCCATCTATCTTCTCCACTCCTCCCCCTCTCTCCCTATTTATTTCAGAACTCCCTTCCCCTCCCCCATTTCTGATGGAGGGTCTAGGCCCGAAACGTCAGCTTTCCTGCTCCTCTGATGCTGCTTGGCCAGCTGTGCTCATCCAGCTCTACATCTTGTTATCTCAGATACTCCAGCATCTGCAGTTCCTACTATCTCTCACCTCCACTGAAGTGACTGGTTTCTTGTTTGTTTTTAATCCAACAAGTTGATTCTTCTGAAGTCAAAACAAAACTAATGGCTTTGTTCTTGGGCTCTACAGAGGTTCGCCCAAGCTCATGACTGCAATCCCATTGTTTCTTATCAATAATGTCTACTCATCAAAATTTCAGAATGACTTTGACCTTTTGGGGGGAAAAAAAAACAAAATCCTTCTGCCTCTACTTTAAAATCTTGCATCATGTCAGCCTGCACCTGTACTAAAAATTACACTTGCAGTTACAATCAGTCAGGCTTACAATCTGGCTCACCTACACACAACCCACATAGATTCATATGCAGGGCTCTGGCTCTTCCTCCTCTTTCACTTTAAGTGTAGTAAGTAACTAATTCCTGCTGCATTCTCTACAGCACTAACATGGCCAGAGTCCACTTGCCAATCAACACTGCTTTCTCATGCAGCATAAGTTGCTCTTCCTTTGGAAATTTGATATTCTTAGATTTCTCAACATAGAAGAATCATATGACAAAGCTTCAACAGCATCTTTTTTTTTCAGCAATAAACAAGTACTCAACGCCAGTCATCCTGATGGCCACCTTTGTGTGTGGCTGCATCATGTTGTGCACAGACCCCAAGTAGTCAAAGTACTGAGTTCTCCCTGCCCCTGGTGTTGCAAAGGATAGGACTGGCTTCAGCGACGCAGAAGGCTCAGGGTAATTGGACCATTCCATAATCACTTGTCCTTCATGGGGAAATTTGCAAAGAAAAACACCTTAGCCACAGTCCATCAAGAAGTGGTCAGCACCTATCACCCTCAATAACCCTGCAGGAAAAGTAGAGGATAGATCCTGCTGGGTTGTTCTTTGATCAGACTGTCAAAGTCATTTGGCAGAATGACTCATCACCAGAACTTTCCAACAAACACCAAGGCATCGCTTCACTGGTGGTGAGAAGAGCACCACCTGTCAGATCCTTCCTGTACGCCAAGACACTGTGCCGCCACACACTACCCTCAAAACGGCTGCGAGGATGTAAAGACTGTCACACATCTTCTTCTAGTACGTACTTTTGCAAACGAAGTCGGGAGAGTGATGCAGCGGTTTTTGTCGAGGTACATTCCGAGCAGCTCCATGACGCAAGACTCTGTGCTCTATGGTCTGTTCCCCCGTCAACTCATTGAAAGACACTCTTTGGTCTGCTCAAAACTGGTTTGTCTTCCAGAGCAAGGAGTTGACCTTGACTGAGTGTTACAGACTGGCATATTCCAAGATCCAGGAATGTGCGCTATGGGATGCAGTAAAGCTTTGGACAACTGCCATCAAGGTGTAGTTGGAAAACACCTAAAGCCTTTCTGCTGAAATTAAATGAGGGGGTCCGTTCAGTTATTGAACTCTCCCAGTGCTTCAAATGTGTGTAAATATAGTCATATACAAGTAAGAAATGCCTTCGGATTGGTTTATTCTCTAGATGTAAAGACTATACCGAATCGAAACACTCTAGAGACTACGTATATAAAGTTTTTTTTATGAATAAAGTATATTTTTGAAATAAAGTAAAGCTGTAATAGACCCACATTTCGAAGGACAATAAGCAATTACCATCATAGTTAACTGACAATAATGCTCATAAAGCAAATTATCAAACCTTTTATTTCCTCTTTCTCTGACCCACTAAACAAAAATACACTCCTGTCCATTCTGGGCCTCCTCCAGTGTCACAATAACACCCGCAAACTGGAGAAGCAGCACCTCATATTCCGCCTCGGAAGCCTACAGCCCAATGGCCTAAACATGGATTTTACCAGTGTCAAAATCTTCCCGCCCCCAGCCTCATCCACACCTCCTTAACCCGACACAACCTGCCCATGTTCTCTCCCACCTCATTGACCAATCCCCACCATTCCCTACCTACATTCACCTATCACCATCCACCTACCTTTCCCAGCCCCATCCCTCATCTCTATTTATTTGAGCTCCGTTCCCCCTCCCCATTTCTGAAGAAGTGTCCCAACCTGAAACGTCAACTTTCCTACTCCTTTGATGCTGCCTAGCCTGCTGTGTTCCTCCAGGTCCACACTGTTATCCTCTGACTCCAGCATCTGCAGTTCTTGCTATCTCTACACTGAAAAATATTTTTTTTTTTCTGAACTAGTTCAAATGTAAGCACCAAAATTAGGCAACTTAACCACAGTTATCATTATTCAAAGTTGATACATCTGACTCATCATAATTGGACAGATAAGTAATGTAGATCTTGAAAGGTTGCCAAGAAAGCAAAATCTCTAGATTTTGGAGATTCTTTATTTAAACGACCAGGTTCTCGCTTTTTTCCTGGTGTAACTATTTGCATGAACACGGTCTACTTATTCGTTAATTAATGCATCTCTTTAGATAAAAAGATATTAGCAAGTAAAAAACATTGCATTTCAAAAAATGAAACAGAGACATTGCAGTTTGTGATGTTTAAATAAAATAAAAAGGATTCAAAATCGCTCAAACATATTTAAAGAAAGACACTTCTCTGGTGTCATAATTAGTCTAAAAAGGCCAGAGCTCGCAGTGTTAGAAGTCAGAATTAGATAGACTATAACAGTATTACAACCATAAGGCATATCTGTCTCATGGACAGAGAACTGAATTAATATACAAACTCTTCTAGCCTCTCCCTTTTGTTAAAAAAGGTACGATCAAGTTACAAACATACAATTGAGGAGCAGAAGAACCAATGCAGCCCTTTAAGCCTACTCCACCATTCAATAAAATCACGACTAACGTTTGCATTCCAAATTCAACACTCCCATCTATCCGCAACACCCATCAACTCTCTTGCCCAACAAGAATCTAACGTCATCTTGAAATATTCAACAGCCTTACATCTACCACCTGAGGCAGAAAGTTCAAAAGTCGTAGAACCCTCAAAACATTTTCCCTTCACCTGACCTCAACTACTTCACATTTTTCCTCACATACTCCATCTGCCAGGTTAAGTGAGCTTATGAAGACCTGTCTATATCAGACTCCTTGTTATACCATCTTTGCAACACCGCTGTGTCACCATTTAGCAACCATACCTTTAATCCTATCACCTGTCATTGATGTAAATTGTAGAAAATTGAGGGCCCAGCACAGACCCTTGCAAGTCTCAATTTTTCACATCCTGCCAATTTGAAGAAGAACGATTTATGCATACTATTGCCTACTAGCTAATCTTTTATCCATACAGCTACGTTACCTCCTATGCCATAAGCTCCTACTATGTGCAATAATCTTTGTTTTGTGATTTGAGGCCAAGATATTACAGTTCACTAGGTCCTGAAGTACAGGCAGACCCTAGATTGCAAACAAACAGAGTCCGCTCGCAAGTCGACTTGTAGGCATGCGGGTTACAGGGATGGGGTGGGTCTAGGTGGTTTGCTGTTTGAAGGGTCCGTGCAGACTCGATGGACCAAATGGCCTCTCTCTGCACTGTAAGTATTCTACATCCATCACTGACAGAATCAGGAGAATTTATAATGGGGAATAAAGTAATTGCAAAGAAGCTAAATGATTACTCAGTTGTCACGGAGGTAGATGCAAGAAATTTCCCAGAAGAAGAGATCCAAGTGGCTAGGGAGGTTGAGGAGTTGAAAGAAATTAGCATCAGTAAAATGGCTGTACTGAAGAAATTAATAGCACTGAAAGTTGATAAATCCCCAGGGACTGATATCCTACATCCCAGGATGTTGAAACTGGTAGATATATAGTCGATGAATTGACAATTATTTTCCAAAATTCTATAATTCCTGGAATGAATGCTGCAGATTGGAAAGTATCAAAATGTCACCGCACTATTTAAGTGCATGTCAGCCTTATCAAGGACACCTAGAATCCCTTGTAGATCTCCATTTTTCAACTTCCCATATTTTAAGAAATAATATACACATCTGTAGCTCCTACCAAAGTGGATAACCTCACACTTCCAAATATTTCACCTGCCCATTCACTACTTAAGTGAATGAGAGCAAATACAGAACTAGAGACCTATCAGTTTTAGATTAGTAGTAGGGAAAATGCTAGAGTCTATTATAAAGACCA